GTAGTACCTCTTCGGGCTCTTGTACACCTTTTTCTTGCTACGTGTGCGTGTTCTTTAGATCCTCAGATGGCTCCAGCACTTTCGTGACCACGGGCCGAGAGTCTTTGCTAGATTTTGGCATTTAGCAACTGGCATACGGTTTAATGTGAAGTCAACAACAACAACAACTACGTGTTCCATTCCATGATGTATCCTGTGTTTCATTCCATGCTTCATTTCATTTTCGTTCCACGGTTCATTCCATTTTGCATAACACGGGTTCGTCTATGCCGCTCACGCTTGCGCGAAAACATGGGTTCGACGTGGTCTCCAGAGCCTCCAAGGACTTCGGCGCCGGACCTTAGTGAGAATGGCAATTGCTACTTCTGTAAGTATCAAGTGGTTGGTCGCCCCCCCCCCGCCCCCCGAAATCCGGGTAGAACCATTGCTGTGGACGTGGACGTTGGCACACAGAAACGAAACGATATATATACGACAGGCACAATGGCACACCATGTACCTCTCGGCTAGCGCCTTCCACTCGGCAGCCTCCGACCTAGCCCTACGGGCTGACTCCTGGATCTCATCCATCCTGCTGGACAGGGCCGAGGCTTCTTCCTTAACGCCGTCCAGTTCTGAGTCTCTCGCCCTCAGGTCCAGCAGCACTCCTTGCAGCTCCTCCGCGCACTGCCGTAGCCGATCCTGCCAAGGCGAGGAAGATTGGGAACCATTATCTTTCGTTTGACGCATGCCGCCACGTACGCCACACGACGCAACGAACTACTTTCTGCGAATACCACTGCCGTGTGCATCGTAACTGATTGCTCAGACTACTCCAGGATCAACATCCGTCATGCCGCAATCGATGGATCCGCTGAAAATAAATAAACGCGCCGCAACGCGCGAGGAACAAGCTCTCATGGCTTCAGGCCCGTTTCGGACAACGCAAACGAGGCGGTTGTCCGGGAACGGCAACAGTACGCGTCAACGCCGCCAGTATTGGCTTCGCTGGCTGTGTCCAGCCTCGGGACGTGTAAGTAGGAACACGGGCTTGACCGTTGTGGGACTGTAGTTGAAACGGTCGCAACGGCTCTCGGGGGACCCCAAGTGACCAGTGGGATATTGTGGGCCTGCAGAGGTAATCGTTTCGGGTTCAGGTGTGCTAGAGTAGAGCGCCTTCGGTTCTCACCCTCTTATGTGGTAGGCGTTCGTCCTAGAAACAGCCAGCAGGGTAAGCCAGCCCATTGTCAGAAAAAACGCCAAGCCGATTGGGTTGCTCAACCCTGTACCCTGCGCAGAGTACCCGAGCCTCCAAATTGAGCAGGCTATCCTGTGACCACCGGCTATAAGCCTACCAGCGCACACACATGCTGAGACACCTAGGGAGAACCGTTGTTCCCATAGGTAGGCGCAAGATAGTAGTGGACATTCTGACGGTCAATTCGTATCTAAACGTTCCATGTCTTCACCCCCCTCTACATCTCGTTCCGGCGAGTATCCCCTACCAATATCACAGGAACTCCACGGCATGGTCTGAACCCTCTTGCGGGAGAAATCACTTCAGCCGTGACCATCGCACCTCTGAATTGGCGTTAGCCTTCCTCATCTTGGCCAGCTCCTCCTCCCTCCAGGAGACGGCTTGCCTAGACTCCGTGAGTTCTTCTTTCAGCAGCGTGGCGGCAGCCTCAGCAGCCTCTAGCCGCTCAGACACCTTCCGTTTACACAATCGAGAGCGTAAGCGATGGGAACATCATCGAAGTAAGGACACCAACTGAAACAAGCACTTGCGTGGGTATTCAAACAGTGACCACACGTGTGCGCAAACCAACTCATATTGCTGCCGTTACCATTGCTTGTGTGATGGTATTCATACCATAGCGGCTGTTCCAATCTTCAACACATCGATGTGGGAGCACAATCACCGGACAACCGTGAAACAGTAAGCTGCAGTGGTCTCAATTGACACTCAAGTTTAACGAGCGGTCCAATGTAACGGGAAATCACATGAGATAAAAGAATGGAAAAAGCCCAACATCATCATACAGAAAGGTACAAGAAGGTACAAAAAGGCTTTCTCCTGGTACTGCCTCGCACCAGGCAGTTCATGAGTCGAACGGCTCAAGCATCGAGAACGGATCCCGGAGTCAGAAGCTACCTGTTCCATTTCCTTTGTTCTGTTTCTGAGAGCGGTCAAGTCCCGCTGCGTTTCTGTCATGAGAGCCGCCGCCTCCGCTAGTTCCTGATCGCGCTGCCGTAGGCGAGAAGAAAGCCCTTCCGAGTGTTCCTGCGATGTAGTCGCCATGTTGGAGTTTGATACGCCGGCAAGAACAACAAACGAAAGGCTAGACACAGCCGACAAACGCGCCACTGATTACTCCAACCTAATGGAAAGTTGAAACTCGCCTACTTTCAGTCCAAAGAAAAAAATTGCAAGATCAGCGCCTCCGTTCAGCACGAACGGAATATCAAGAACAGAGGGAGAAACCTCCTTTAGACCTCATCAGCCTTGCAGAAAAATTAGCTACGAGACATTTGATGAAGAACAAACGCATTTTGGAACGGAAACAGCGTGCCACGCATGGCGATGTCAAACAACCCGTTGCACGATCCTGCTCACCTCTAGCCGGTTGAGCTCTCGCCTGAGCTCCTTCATTCCTCGAGATGCCGCCTCCACCCCGGCCCTTTCCAAGCAATGACGTCACAATGACATCACAATGACATCACAATGACATCACAATGACATCACAATGACATCATAATGACATCACAATGACATGACCGAAAAATCACAAAACGAGTGACGATCATCCAGATGGCCTTGGTGAACACCAGGGGTCAGAAGTCCCAAAAAACCTAGCTAACGTCATACCGTAAATGTGTCAATAGTAACCGCGTCCATGTGTCAGCCGAAGTGAATGAAAATGGGTCCGAAAAAGACCGCGAGCGCCGATGTCTGCGCGTGAAAGTACAACACCGCCCCCTAAAAGCCACCAAGTTGCGATGCCGCCAGGCAAACCCAATAACGGAGGTACATGAATGACAGATATGTGATGGAACCTGCTCACGGACCGAATTGGAACGACCACCACCTGTGATTCACTATTTCCCATTCCACATTTCACTCTCGCCCTACCACCTGCACTTCACTCTCTGCTATGCCAAATATCACTCTTGCCCTCTTCTGCCTCGTGACCTTCGTGGCTTCCGTGTCCGAAATTACTCTCTGGCCTTCCGGTAGGCGACACAGCACATGTAACCCGGACCCTCGCTGCCCTCCTAACCCAACCCTTCGTAAGAGAGCGGACGGGACTGGCCGGCCTGACAATACTCACCGCCCTTCGGAGTGCCGCCTCTGCAGCTCCTGCGCCCTGGAATCACTCCTCTGCATCCCCTCCTTGGCGTCCTCTAGCTCCTCCAACACCTGCTCCACCCGCTCCCTGGCTAGACATGCCTCTGAAGAAACCTGCAGGATGAGCAACGAAATTCACACATTGTCTCTTCTCAGGATCACAAGAATTCCCGCCGTTAATGCTTGGAGGACATCGCTTTCTCAATAGGAAAATCTATGTCGGACGAAGGGACAAAGTTCACGATCACGAGCAAATCTCTCAATGCTCCAGGCGATTTTTCTCCGTCCACATGGACAAACGAACGGCAACACTGTTCCGAACCATTCTTCCATTCAACACGAACAAAAACTGGCTATGCCTGCTAAAGGTTGACACGAAAAAGCCGAGCCACGGGAGCACTGCACTGATTCAGGGGCCGAAACAATTGGATTGCGAAATACCACGAAACGTTTTCCGAGCGGTATGAACATCGACTGCGATTCGTCTCCTGCCAACTACTTAGGCACTCCGTGTCCTGCTGCATTCGCTTGCGCAATCTTCCCTGCCGTGTTGATCCGTTCCTTTAGAGGCATTGCTTTACCACAAACGTCCGGTGACAAGGCCGGAAGAAAATGCTTCATTCACATCTGACGCTGCCATCCATGCTACATTGAACTAGACACCGTTGGTTCGGCAAAAATCTTAGCAAAAACCAGGCGAATACCTATGCGAAACGCGTGGATATGTCTTCGCAAGTTCAGCAAGCGTACCTAAGGTTAGGATTAGGAATGGCGTTACCTGTTCCAGCTTTTCCTCGGCCTCGCCCTGCGCCCGTTCTGCCTCCAACAGTCTTCCCTCAAGGCGCTCGACCTGCTCGTCCTTCTCCGCTGCCTTAGCCCTCCATTCCTCCTCAGCAAGCTCCCGCGCGGCCTCGGCCTGCTCCTTGTCTGAAGTGCACGCAGGCCAACGAAGAGCAGCATATGTTGGGGAGAGCGCCTTAAAGAGCCCATTCTCCATATCATCGTCCTTCTGGATATATGCTGAAGTCGTTTGTGCGTGTGAGACAGAGAGAACGACCTGATGCGAGGAAGTGCAGGGAACTCTCCTCTGGTAGAGCCAGACGTGAATGAATGGCTCGAAGCGGTTGCATGTCCCATGTTCCCGTGGTTCGGTTCCACCATCGGTGAAATAATCTGCGCAACAAGCGTTCGCGGGTCAATCATATCCCCTCCTCACGTGCAGCACCAGCACAAGATCAACTTTACCTCGTGGGACCTATCTGTCACCCGTACGTCATTCGCTACGCGCTACACCTCTAGTGTTGACCCTCTTACTGATTCCGCCGAAACCGAGAAGGAGACGACCCTGCTTCCCGAACCGCCACCAATCACGCCGCACACCAACTTTCCGGAACAATAGTCCTTTGAATAGCGCAGTAATGTTGGGGGAAAAGCAATGTCTTGCATGATTGTTGTATAGTGGGGTTGAAAAAGCCCGAGCTCATCAATACCTTTCAGCATGGCGGTGAGCTAAGCCCGAGCTCATCAATACCTTTCAGCATGGCGGTGAGCTCTCTCTCCATGTCGACCCCGAGCGTGTGCAGTTCGCTCGTCCTTGCCCTGCTGACGGATAACGCCTCTTGCTCTCGATGCAACTCCGCTGCGATGGCGGCGGCCTCTTCCCGCGCTAGTTCGAGATCCTTCTTGGTGTCTTCCAGGTCTTGGTTGGCTTTGACGAGGCGTGCCTCCCTGTCTTGCACGAGTGTTGCAGAGGCGTCCTTGCTCTTGCTCAGGGCTTCGTCCCACGAGCGCTAAGGAACACGATTCGTCCGGTTGAGTGACATTCGATCGTAAGACGGCAAATAGAGAGACGGAGAGACGGAGACAGAGAGAAAGAGAGACAGAGAGAAGAGAGCGCGCGCGAGTAAGACAGACAGACAGACAGACAGACAGACAAGGGTAGAGAGCAGCAGAAGGAGGCGAGAAGAAACAGTTAAAGATGGCGGAACCACACCTCATGCCATTCGCTTTGACGGGTAGACTAGAGCACACTCGTCTAAGATGCGGCCCACCAAGTCGCTGCCAAAGCTTGCATGCCAATATACCTCGGCATGCTGCAGCTGCTGCGCCTTCTCCGACACCCTCTCCCTCGACTCTTCCAGCAACCTTCCGAGGTTTTCGAGCTGCTCCTCTAGGGAGTCCGTCTTAGCAGACAGCTGTCCTACGGCTTCGAGGGCTTGGTCTCTCTCCACCTCCACAGCTGCAACCCTAGACCTGAGAGAGACAAAGTTCGAAATGCACGCACAACACAGAACACGCAAAGAAACGCCACACGCAGGGGAGGAAACGAACAACAAAACAAGGGACTGCAGCGTGTTGATGAAGCCATTCGAACATGTTATCAACTACCAACCAACGCGCATGCAAACCCGATTGGACGCGTTCTTTGGTGACGATTGAGTGTAGTCAACATCTGGCTTTAACCTTCCCCCTGTGACACCCAGTCAGGACCGAGCTCACAACGGGTCCCCCAATCGGAAGTTTTCAGGTGGTTGCGTAAAATTCCAACTAGAACAAAACGAGCGTTCGAACGAACACCCACAAACGTTACTCCTTGTACAGTGCAGCTCAGCACGCAGACTGAGAGACACAAGAAATACAAAAACAACTTTCAAGATCTCCTGGCACTCAACACTCTTGGCGCAGAGCAACACGGCATGTTGTCCGAACTTCCACGCCGAGGTTAACGCTAGCACAAACACCAAACCAGAGCGAGCCACAGGACATGACAATGAAGATGCTTGGAATCGGCGTGCGCTCGCTCTGAACTACATCCGTCGTCGAGCCTGGCTGCGTGGGCTTCTCCTCCTTCAAATAGCCGGAAACGACATTCACCGTCTGCTAAAGACAAGCGTCCGCCGCAGCAGACGTTGAACACTCGTGAATCCAGCACACCAAACGGCAACAGCACAGCAAAAAAGGTAGCTCAGTATCACAACGGTAACACTGCCACGACACAAATTCGTTGCCTGGCTTTGTCAAGCTGCTCTTGGATGGCCGACAGTTTCGCGTCCGCTGCGTTAGCCCTCTCCTCCGCGCGCCTCGTGGACCCCTCCAACTCCCCCTTCTGCTCCAGGAAAGACGAGGTCAGTCGCTGTGACTGCTGCAAGATGTCGTCCTTTGCTTGGTACAGCTCGGCCTCGTCTCTCTCGAGTGCCTAGCCAAGACGAGTGCACAGCCGAGAAAAAGTCGGCACGAATGGCACAAAAACAGGACCAGATGAAACACGAGAAGATGCGCCCGCAAGACGAGATAGGACAAAGCAAAGACGAACACGAGACAAGCCAAGACTGGGACGCGCAATAATAGCATAACCCTTCGGGAAGGTGGCCATTACTGCGATCGACAATCAACTCTTCACATGTTGCAGGGTTCCCTAGACCTGCGATGGCCTCGGGGAAAAAAAAATCGATGTTGCAAGCGCCGTGGCGAACACGACCCTCAATACCTCCGTAAAACTAGTTTGACTACAACATTGTATTGGCACGATCCGCTTGGGAGGGGCTAACCAAATCGCGACTAACGTGAGACAGAGACGTAAAGTGCGCTAGTTGGGCCACAACGAGTGACACAGAACCGGGAAAGGTACGCGCGATGATGCCATGCAGACCTACAACTAAAACCTAAAAAGTGAACACTCACGCGCGATGACGTCATGCAAACCTCTCCAAGCTCAAAAGCCCCCAACGGGCGCATACACGTTGACTCCATGCAAACCTCTCCAAGGTTAAAAACCCACAAAGGGTTACAACGATGACATCATGCACACTTCTCGGAGCTTCAAACCCAAAAAGGGTACACCCGATGACGTCATGCAACACCTCTCGTCGCTTTTCCAGCTTGTCCGCCTCTGCTGCCGCCTCCCTCCTCCCCCTCTGCAGCAGCTCCTTCTCCTGGTCGAGTTCTAACTTGCTCGACGCCAGCACGTCCTGCTTAGACTCCACCTGATACGTATGTACACGTAGGGCATCGCGCGCACGACGAGTTCGATCAGGGCAGATGCTTCGATGTTCATGGACACGAGGTCAATGCGCTGCCAACCACGGGGTCATGATGACAAACCTGATTTCCGAATTGCACACTCGGAGATGCGGGGTTCTTGGTGGCACACGACCTCCGTGACACGCAACAAAAGAGGTACGCGTGAAGTATAGATTTCTAGAGCATCAGAACCTCGAGAGAAAAGCAAGAGACCCACGAGGAAAAAGTCTCGAGCTGGACAGACGGTGTCATGGGTGTCATGGAAGGAAGTGCAGCCGCCACCATGTAGAGCGAATGCCACAAAGGGCCAACTCCACCCAAGACTTACTGTCCAACCCACGAAACGCACGGGCGTAACGGAACATGCACCGGGCTCCATTGCTAACCTCCGCAAAGGAATGTCACCACACCATACCATACCATACCATACCATACCACACCATACCATACCGAATCATACCATACCTGTGACAGGGCCTCCGAAAGCTGCGATCTCATCTTCTCCACCTCCGCCCTTGATTTGGACAGCTCGCTCCTGCTCCGGAAAAAAAAAACGCACAATTTGAAACATGGGGAGGTACCTCATCACCACCGAAAGATCAATCTGGAAACGGAACGTGGAAAGAAAGCTTGGGGACAAAACGGGTCCACGGAACGTAAAACGGAAAAATGGAATCCTAACTGGAAATCGAGAATGAGAGGAGTATAGTCAACGCAACACAAACCCGGTAACAATATGGAATTGCATGCGGAAAACCGAAAAGCTGCACGGATATCCGGGGAGAGTCCGTTGAGAAGATGGGACATACTCGAGAGATGACGAAGAGGGCCTTCCGCTGACCCACCTGGTTGCATCGGATTTCCTTTCTCCCTCCTTCATTGCGGATTCGGCCGCCTCCGCCTTGAGGAGGAGCGACCTCGCATCTTCCTTCTGCTGCTCGAGGCCGGCTTCCTATGGTCCATTGGTACAGACAGACAGACACCCGTAAGGTATGCACGCCATCGAGCCAACCGGCGAAGGGATTCAAGTGAGCGTGCGCATAATACGTCCCGTCCAAATCCTAAATAACAGAAAACACTAACAGAAAATGCCAACATGAAAAAATATATAAACACCTCCTTCAACGTCACCCCAAACATTTTCACATCAACTCACAAAATAAGAACGCCCCTCGAAGTTAACGCTACGTATGCACGGTATGTCACATCAATTCACCTCCAGTTTTGTGTGCCGATTTTTACCTCTGGATAAGATCCCCACAATCGGCATGGGTATAGGTAAGCAATGGTGTCATTTTTCAAGCACGCAACTATTTGAACGCCCCGAGCGCCTGGGAGGTTAGCTGCTAGCACAAATAGGAGGGTGAACATGGCGAGTTACGCAACATGCAACATGCTTCCGCCTTTCTTTGGAACGAGCCCGCTTTTTGTCTGCAGACTGCCCTCTCTGCGCATCATCTCGTCAACCGCTCTGCCTCAGCGAGGAGCTTTCTGGCTTACAGGTTTATCACGCTCGATTGCCGACGCTTTCAAGCGTTGCCCCAACCATTTGTGGAACCTCCCAAGCATGTTTTCCCAGGGGAAGACGGAGGTGCCGCCGGAGTGTCTTACAATACAATTAAGAGGTTGAAGCGTTTCATGGATCCTTCCATCCTTCGACACAGCCAGGCAGCCACACATCTGCGAAACACGTGCCTGGCGCTACGCAGGTCCTCGAAGTTGCTCTGCATAATATCTACAACATCTTACCGTGCCTGGCGCTAAACAGGTCGTCGAAGGTGCTCTACAACAGAGGCAGTCTCGACATCTACGACATCTTACCGTGTCTGGCGCTATTCAGGTCCTCGAAGTTGCTCTGCATAATATCTACGACATCTTACCGTGCCTGGCGCTAAACAGGTCCTCGAAGGTGCTCTACATCAGAGGCAGTCTCAACATCTACGACATCTTACCGTGTCTGGCGCTATTCAGGTCCTCGAAGTTGCTCTGCATAATATCTACGACATCTTACCGTGCCTGGCGCTAAACAGGTCCTCGAAGGTGCTCTACATCAGAGGCAGTCTCAACATCTACGACATCTTACCGTGTCTGGCGCTATTCAGGTCCTCGAAGTTGCTCTGCATAATATCTACGACATCTTACCGTGCCTGGCGCTAAACAGGTCCTCGAAGGTGCTCTACATCAGAGGCAGTCTCAACATCTACGACATCTTACCGTGTCTGGCGCTATTCAGGTCCTCGAAGTTGCTCTACATTAGAGGCAATCTCGACATCTACGACAGCTATGGCATAACGTGCCTGTCGCCGCAGGTCCTCGAAGTTGCTCTCGATGGCCTTCTTGAGCCTCTCCAGCTCCCTCCTGGCGTTTGCCCCATCCCTCATGCACCTGTCCGCCGCCCTCTGCTTTTCATCCGCCTCCTCCAGCCTCCGGTGTGCTTCTTCTTCCCACCCTGATACCTCCGCCTTTCGACGCGAACGACGGACACAAAACAAACACGCTGGTATTCACATCACATCACAGACGGTGTGCTTCTTCCGACGCGGATACACCAGCCTTTCGTCGCCATCGACGGACACAAAACAAACCCGCTGGTACCACATGGCGTGACGTCACAGGCAACAGGAGTATACACGAAGGAAGCGAGGTGGCGATATGAAAACCCGACCAGATTCGGTGTTGTTTTGTACTGACGCGGACAAAACTAAAGCACTGGAATGAGAAATAGACATAAAACACGAAATCCATTAGCCCTCCATACACCCGGGCATTCCTGGAAGAAACACTCGCTGGGCACCAAAAAATAAGGATGTCAGAGAAATAAAGAAAATCGCAGAACCATACACAGTCAAATCAACGGCAACAAAAACACCACCCTCATCACCACCAACAACAACAACAACAACAAAAGCAACAATCGCAACAACTGGTTTTGCTTGCGTAAACCAGCCCAACACAAAAAACACACGCCAAAACGTTTGGCAGAAAACATGCATGCCTGAAACGGTCAAAATAGAGGAGTCAAGTCATGTAGGAGCACACAGTGTTCATCCGACACACAATAACAAGCCAAGGTACAGAACAAAATGCAGAGTAACCCGTTCACGAGAGATCTACAGGCTTGACGGAAGCACGCCTGTTGGAGGAAGCACCAACAAAGGCGCCCCTCTTGCCACAAACAAATACCTTTCTCCTGGCGAGGTCGGCGCGTTGGCCCTCCAGCGCCTTCTCCAGCAATGCCAGCCTATCTCGAACTCCCTCGAGCTCCGAGGCCCTCGCCTCCCGGCCCGCCTCTAGCTCCGCGAGCTCCGCCTCCCTCTCCGCCACCGCCGTCTCCCTCTCTTCCAATCCCGCCTTCGCCTCCTTCACGCGGCGCTCCTCGCCCTCCAGAGCTTCGGAACGTTCCCGGAAATTTCGCTCCTGGGAGAGCCTGTCAGCTTCTAGCTTGGAGGTGCTTTCGGAGGCCTCGTTAGCCTGGCCCTTGAGAACTTCCTCCCACTGGGATAAGCCCTCCTCCCGAGCCTAGAGAACGGTTTCGCGGGTCATGTGAGACCGGCTATCCTATGAGATAGGCGTTGGTTTAGGAACAAACAATAGAGAAAATATCCGGGAAAAAACTTTCCGGTGGATGAGACTTTTCTCTCCGAGGATATGTGCCTCAGTGCTCATTGCAGCTGGTAGACACACCACAAGCCAGCTAGCGGGCTTGACAACACTTATTGCTGAACAGAACAAGAAAAGCATGGCACAACGTGTCAGACTGTGTGCTTTCCTCTCGAATAATTACACCCAACTTGCCCTGAAAAGCATAATCCAACGGGAAAGGGAGGGCGTGACGTGACATCAACGAAACAGCGCTATCAATACTACTAATACTATTAATACTATAAATACTAATTATACTACTAATACGGTACACCCGCTACCAATACCCCTACCACTGACGCTTGCCAATCAAATTCATTGTAAGTAAATGAAGGCAATGGTGGTGCTGTTGGTTATTCGACTCTCGAAGCAAGTTTTCTCACGGGCTAGGGGGGGACCTCGGTTGATATTTTGTCATGTAACCAACAACATCAACGCCAGCTGGAAACGGCCCAAATGCTTGCGCCACCGACAGCAAGACACGGGACACACCTTGACAGCCTCTTCCACACCCTTCGCCTTAGCTTCCCGGGCACGAATCTCGTCCCAGCTTCCCTCAAGCTCCTTCTTCAACGACCTCGCTTCAAGGGTAGCCTCCTCCGCTTCTCTAGCGTGGTTTTCGGCATCCTTCCTGGCTTGCTCTAGCATATCTCTAGCGTGGGCCATCTCCTCCGTCTTGCGGGCTAACTGCGCCTGCGTGTTAAGCGGTTGGTGTGATCGTTGTTGTCAAGGTGGTAGGCCTGTGTGTTGGCGGTTATCGTGATCATGGTTGTGACTGTGTTAGGCCTGCGTGGTAGCCTTTGTTGCGGTGATGGTTGTGATAATGGGGGGCGACTGCGCCTGTTGGTGTCGTGGGCCGCCTGCCTGGGGGTACCTCTCGAGAGACGCGCAAATTTCAATGTTCCTTTTCGGTTTCATTCCCAACGAGACACCTAATCTTTGTCGCACAAGGCGCAGAGAATTGCTAGCATCGCAGATCACCAGTCAATCGTTCTTTCCTCCGCGTGTTTCGCAAACGTGTAGCTTCCAGCGTTGATCGTGCAGGGCTTCGGAGTTTGTCATTGGCGAACATCAGTAGTTAAACAGTCCAAACCCCTCACGGGTGCCAAGCTTGTTCACCAACCGCAAACGACGGTGTGCACCACACGACAACCCACAACATTACTCATCATTCTTACCAAACACCCAACGCCTAGCCGTACCGTTGCAGACCATCCCGCCGAGCAGCAGTGGATATCCGGTGGTCCACAATGATAATATACTTAGAAGTACTACATGTCGGCGGGGTCGTCCTAACACCGGTTGATGGACAACGTCCGGAGTCCCCAGTGGACCTAGATCTTGAAGAGGCTGGGGCCTGCGTCGTGTTTGTACCAGTGCACTTGATGAAAAAATCATCCAAAACAAAACCGCTGGTGCCTTACGCGGCCTCCCCAGTCTTCCAGTGCAAGAGCGAGAAAAACACGATTTTCCCCAGTATTCACGCCCAAAAGAATACATGCCTCCGTTTTTAGGTGAACCTTGTCTCAAGTTGTTGCCACCGCTCGATGCTAACTGCAACACGAAATAGACCAGGGCCATTCCAAGCGGCTTGATTGAGCCTCCAGAGAGACGGGAAACTGCAAACTTGGCCCCTTTTAAAACCCTCGCACCTCCACTTCGTCAGCCTCTAGCTCTCGCTCCCTCAGCCTCGCCTCCATCGCTGACAAGTCCCGCTCCCGCTCCAAACACGCCTCGCGAGCCGTGTCCAAGCCCTCCCTGTCCGCATCGGCCGCTCGAAGCAGCCTCTCAGCTTCGGCCTCCCTCGCCTGACGGGGGCAGGCGGCAGCAATGGGTTTCATGGCGATAGGGTTGGCGATCGGTCTGGCATTCTACGAACAAAGTGTGCTATGAAGCCTGTGTCCGAATACAGTAGAGGTCCCTGTTTGGTGCCGGTTGAATAGTGCCAGTTGCCGGTTTAGTGCCGGTGTTTTCGGCTCGCACACACTGGAATACCAAGTCGTTCTGTACTTTGAATAGTGCCGGTGCCCGGTATAGTGCCGGTGAAATTTTTGCGCACACCCCGGCACTAAACAGGGACCTCTACTGTAATAAACGTACAGTGAAACAACGGATGGTGCTTGTGGGAGCTTGGTAAAGGCGCCTCATCAGCAGATTTGCAGCTTCATCAGCGCCATTTGCACCTTCACAGGTTCGATGAGGGATTTTAGGGTGATTCGAACCAACCCCTGCAGCTGATCGCTCTCTCTCTCACACACCTCAAGAGCGCGAGTCGTCGAGGCCAGTTCCGCCTCCTTCTCTTGAAGTTGGTTGCGAGTTGCGTCTAGCTCTGCGAGGTCCACGTCCAAGGCTCGACGTCGCTGTCGGTGACAGATGTGATGGATTTGATGCGGAATAGGTGTTCGTGGGTACGGGCGAGGTACCAAGATAGAGGGACAGAAGTTAGTTTGGAGTGAGGAAAGAAGGGGAGGAGGCAGAAAATATCAGCGAAAAAAGGAGGGAGAAATAGAGACAGATAGAGAGAAACATCGACAGAAGCGAGACACAGGAAGGGGCCGACGGGCCAGGCAAGAGACAGAACGAGACACAGGGAGAAAGAGAGAAAGGGAGAAACGGCGGTACTCAAAACGAAAGGAAGTACAAAATGGGTACACTGTTGTAGAAAACAAACAAGACAATGACAAGCCGTTTGGAGAGACGAGAAGGTGAGGCACTAGATCAATGAAGAATGGCCATGTAGGATGGCGTTTGGTCCTTCCGGATGGAGTTCCTAAAGCGGACCATGACGACGGCAACAGAGAAATCCTCAATAAAAAAAAGCGAAAACAACACGCCGCATGGGACCGACCAGCAACAAGAACAAAAAAAAATTACCCTGGCGAGGTTGTCCGCTTCATCTCTGAGCTTGTCCCGCTCCCGGCCCAGAACGCTCCTGCCTTGGTCTAGCGACAGACCGACCTCCCTCCCCGTGTCACGAACCGCCTCCTCGCGGGTCTCCAGCTCTCGACGTACAGCAGCAAGCTCACTGTCTCTCTCTGGGGGTGACGTGATTGCATTCGAGGGGGGGGGAGGGTTGGTGAGGTAAGGACTACCGCAATCAGCGCATGATTTGTGAGAGTGAAACGTGACGGTGGGATTTGCGAGTGTATGCAACTCGAGGTTGGGAGTAGTACTCTTGGACGTGTGCTAGGTAACTTTGGCGGGCTTCCCACCAACAGCCCAATTCATCCACCTTAGCGCCCTCCGGAATACCGGCGGTTGGCCCCTTACGCTCGGAACGTCTCGGTGAGCGCTGCCAATGCTTCCAAAAAGAACCTTACCTTCCCCACGTTTCCGCTACAACACCCCATTGTACAGAGCTTGCGCAATTGACCCGACCGTGCTCTGCCAACGCTACGAACAGGAGCCCTACCCCAGGTTTCCGCTCGAACACCCCATTGTACAGAGCTTTCGCAATGAACACGACCGCTACTGCCGTCTCTGAGGGTACAGCAGTAGCGTGACTCGCCTTCTAAGGCCTCTTTCTCTCGCTCCAGCTCTCCCTCCCTCCCCTTAAGGCTCTCCTCCCAGTCCCTTAGGTCCCTCCGCTCACCGTCGAGCTCTCCCTTAACCCTCTCGGCTTCCAAGCAGTTCTGTTGCACCTGTGAGACGATTGACCGGCATCAGCCAACATAAATCGTTTCGGAAATCTTTCCATTGCTGCTAGTAGCACCTACAGTACCAATGTTTCTAAATACCGACTACCGGTAGGGTTTCAAATACTTGTTGGTCATCGCTGTCCACACGTGGAGTCTTAGAGTTAGAAGGTACTGAGCCGAGGCCGGAACGGTTGATAGCGTCAAGACAATACAGTCGTGGCTCCGATGCAAGAGGGTCCCTTGCACGAGGGGGCTCCGATATACGAGGTTCGACATCGGTTGTCACGGGCTCGACCTTCTATTGTATAGTTGAGAAATCTCCTTCCGGGATAAAAGGGGGCTCCGACATAGGAAGGTCGAGGGTTTGTGTCACGCCACGCTCCAATTTTGGAGCCACGGCTGTAACAAGAACACCAACGACAACGCCTGACAATGCACACCGATGACTAGGAGTCCTGGTTATGGGAGGCCTACCTTGGCGGCGAAACTTCGACATCGACATCGACATCGACATCGGTCAATATGCTTACTTCCTTCCTACCGTCGCCGTGTCGTTTACATACTGTACCTTCGCTTCGAGAACCCGGACGTCCTCTTGTCTCGTTTTGAGCTCCGCCTCCCTATCCTCCAGCTGGAGCCTCTGCTGCCGCAGCTCCGCCTTCTCTCCTCCGACCTACGTTAGTGACCGGTTGCCTTTGTTGTTGTCGCTGTTGTGTTGCTGAAGTCATCGACAGCAGACAGTAGTGATCGCCGGAAATGGCACTGGGCGACAGGAAGGCACCAACAGCCTTGTTACCGCGGGCAACCACCAACGCCCTTGTGATCGCGCCCTGTGACTCTCAAGGGCATGAACCACCACCACGCACCAAGCTACAAAAACAAATCCCATCCGCTTCCCTGAAGAACAACGTCCGGACTTGCTTCGGACATCCAATCCGACTCGAAACGGAAGCTGTTTACCGAATCTGTCGATCGCAGGGCTTACCCGTGCGCTGAACCTGTCCAGGTCTCCCCTCGCCCGCTGCACCTCGGCCTTCTCCCCCTCGAGAACGTTCCTGGAACGTTCCAGCGCCGCTTCTGCCTTCAGGCGGTCGTCCTCGAAGGCCTAGGCGCAGGTGCAAAACCAACGACATCAAAACAACAGTCCCCGGCGAATCAGGAACGGGACGATACTGGACACCAGCACAAAGCAAGTGAACGTGCAGAGCACACAAAGTAGCCAGCCTAGAGGTGAATTGGACCGCGTCAGGCGGTAGGGGCGTCCGGACGATTACAGCGTGCGGACTAAGGGTGGGTTCTCCGTTCGACAGCAGTGCCTCAACGCGTGCCAGACGCACCAGCATGTAGCACCGTCAAACAGCAAAACTCGCCGAATTACAAAAGCAGAACGCGAAATGTAGTTCTTCGTGTCCCTCTGCCCCTTACGCGGGTAGAGGCAAAAGGCAACAAATTCCAAGGAAGCTGCAACGGCGCCGAAAATGTTTCAAAGCAAAGCCGCTTCGTCGTCCCAACTACTGCTGCCTCCAACGAGCGTTGCGTGAAATCTGCTACACTCTAGAGCTGCATGCAGTACCTTCCAAGCTGCTTTGATATCACCCTTCTCCTTTTCCAATCCCTCGGCGGCAAGCCGCAGCTCCTCTCTCCCGGCGTCCACCTCACGTCTTCCAGCCTCCTGCAGCTCCTCGAGCGCCTTCCGTCTGCCCTCCACTTCCACAGACTCCTCTTCCAAAACCTTGAGAAACAAGACACATGAACATCCAAACACAGTTGAATATTTCACACAATAAACAGAAGGGAAATACGACCAGCATACCGCAGGTTGGTGCGTAAGAAACCACACCCCAAAGACCGATTTTCACAGGCCGAATACTCCACGACGAAGAGCATGCCGAGTTCAAATGATACATGTTCGGAAAGCTCTCGACGAGACGAGCCGGTTCCAATACCTTCCGCCAATCTCGACGCCGTCACTGATTTGCCAGCCGAGAAATCGAGCTTTGAAAATCGGCTCAGGTGGTGTGATATTACAATTCAACGCACGGTACTGCCTCGGGAACCAAGAAGCGTAGTCCGTTGCATCATTCACACTTGGGGCGCAAACAAGAAAAAACGAAGGGATCCTCGTCCGCCACTCTGCGAAGACAGAACGAACACTACGAGGATACACCACACGACACCGTACTCAGATAGCAGCGTTTCATGCGAGAATCCAGCAGCAGCATAGGGTGACTGACGGTGGAGGTCAATCGGCATGTTCACGTTGCAAAATTGGAATAGGCAAGCTGGTTCAGCGCTAACGAAGCACAACCTTCAGTGAAAAAACCTAAGCAATCAATCCACTGAACCTTCACCTTGCGAGAAGTTTCCACGACCGCCTTTTCGTGGGCCAGGGCCTGTCCCAGCCCCTCCGCTTTGTCGGCCTCTTCCCGAAGAGATTTTCGTTCTTCCTCCAGCGCGGCCCGTTTGCTCTCCGCCTCGGCTAGATCCCGCGAGGCTTTCTCCTGTCGTGCAGGGAGATGTTGGGTACAGTGGCGTTTCATGATTGGATTGGTTTTGGTTGCGATTGATTGTGCTTTTAAGCAGAAAATCTCATGCGGAAGATGTTGCGTTTGATTTCTTGCCTCTAGTGGACAATCTCATTTTCATGTACGGGAATGCTCGTGGTTACGTTTGATTTTGCTTTAAGTATAAACTCTCATGTACGGAAGATGTTGGTGGTTTTGATTGGTTTTTGCTGTAAGCAGAAACTCTCATGTACGGAAAATGTGCGTGGTTACGTTTGGTTTTGCTTTAAGCATAAACTCTCATGTACGGAAAATGTGCGTAGTCACGTAATAAATTTAGAGCATGCCCACGTGGTGGTCCCGGTGTTTGTCTCAGCCAGCTAAGCCAGCTAAGCCAGCTAAGTGACCCCGGAAGGAGGCCCCACGGCTTTGCCCCGACAGTGAGCTAAACCTAGCTCACACAAACCCTCCACTCAGGCGGCGCGAAACACTTCGACGCTTCATGCCGATACAGGTGCTAAGTTGAGGCTACTACGTCGGGATTGGTGGCTCGCCAACGCTGAGAAAATGATGGTTACCTTGAGGTGCAAGACCTCCTTGTGTTGTCGGGCAACCTGCCGCAGGTCCGCCTCCACCCTGACCCTCGCCTGCTGAACCCTGGCCGCTTCCTCCTGGCAAGACAGCCACAGTGGAAAACAGCCGTCGGCATCGTCAAACCGAAAGGCTCAAATGTCACCGCTATATTGCTCCCCCCCGTATCCAACCTTCAAAGTGAATGCTGCATCAAAATGCTTGGGATCAGGACCCCCACATGGAACCACCCAGGCTGTTCGACCACTGTATGCGAGAGCTCCAAGCAAGCAACACAACGCTCCCATCCTGCAACAACATATGAAGAACCTTCCAAGTAGTAGGTGGAACTCGCATGATCCCAAGGCAAACTACAAACGCCGGGAGAGGAATGACTAACCTACATCCCTTCCCAGAGAGGGGACAAAGCATCTCCAGCTCCTTCCAGAGAGGGGACGGCTTACCGCTAGCCCCTGCCAGAGAGGGGACAACTCACCTACATCCCCTCCTAGCGAGGTGACAACTCACTTCCGACCTCAGCTAGAAAGGGGACGACTTATCTCCAGCTCCTCCCAGGGAGAGGACGGCTCACCTCCAGCCCCTGCCAGAGAGGGGACAACTCACCTACATCCCCTCTCTCTAGCCCCTGACATGTCTCCATCCCCTTCCAGAGAGGGGACGACTCACCTCCAACCCCTCCTTCCCGACCCTCAGCTCCTGCAAACCCCTCTCCATGGACGCCTGAAGCTCGGACGCTCGTCCCCTCGCCTCCGCCTCCCTTTCCCTCAACGCCTCCGAACCGGCGTCCACACCCCGCAACCGCAGCTGCAGCCAGGCCCCCTCCAGTCGTCGGCGTGGGAGGGAAGACAGGCGGGAGAACAGGAAAGACGCCGCTGATCTAAGGAGATCTTGGTGGGCCTGGGGGATCGAGAAAAGGAGAAAATGGCGTCACTGAGGAGACTACAGCAGCACAGTGTTAGCCAACATTGGTTGGGCCGCGTTGTGCTGCTCTGCACGGCAAGCGTTGTGTGGGTCATGGCAAGCGATCCGGATCGCAAGCCGTAGCAGGAACAGTAACAAAATTGGCTGTTGTAGGTGGCCGAACTATTTTTTTTGTGTTCGTATGGAAGTCGTCGGTTCGACGGGAACAAAAAGCTTGTCCACAACATGGGCACATGGCGTCCGCTTAGCGGCAAACAAACACTTGCCCACTATCACCGAGGACAACGGAACGGACGAGAGCATGTGAAACAGCCACTAGCCGCCGGCGACATGCGGCGACCACTGTGCAACATGAGGCTGCGCCACGCACCTTGCGGCTGGCTTCATCGAGCTCTTTTCTCGTAGCATCATGCTCCGCAGCCTTCTCTTTGAGTGCCTCTCGCTGCTCCTGTTTCAGCCTCTCTAGCTCCTCCAAGCGTTCCTCCAGAGCCTAACGAGGAAATTTACAGCATACTATTGTGAAACCCCCATCTGAGACTAACGTTATCACACACGACATCCAGCATGATGATCGCCAAGTCCACAACCCCTCCTCTAGGACCATCTCAGGTTGCTTGCCACCCGTACATCACACGTCGCTTGATAAAAGCGCCACTCCTGTCGCAGCTTTGCCTCAAAAAACCATACACACAATCATAGAAAGACTACCCGGACGAGAAAATGCCATAAATCGAAGAGGGGTGCGTTGTTTGAAGTGTTTGCACCCGATCTTGGTCTTGAGGAAAACCTGCTGGATACACACACAATACCAAATACATTACCTGCAGCTTCAGACCAGACCAGTCGTGGTGACGTAATACACCGTTGTTCTCATTTCGAGTACTAGACATCCAGTACGTCTTGAGCAAACCCTGCTAGACACAGCACGTCCCACGACTACAGTACATTGCCTACAGCTCCAGAACAGAACAGTCGTAGCGAAACAGCACCGCGTTGTTCTCAATTTGTAGTGCCATTAGACTAACGCGGAGTCTTGCGTATGCCTAGACTATGCGCCGAGAGATAGCGCGGCGTTCTCTGTCAAAAGCGTAGTGCCAGCAACACCTTCTTCCTCTCTGTTTCCTCACCTCTTCCGCGACCTTGAGGGAAGCTTCCCGCTCTTCCGACAGTTTCACCCTTGCCCCGGCCTCCGATAACGCCTGCCTTGCGGCTGCCTGTTCGCTTCGCAGGCTAGACTCCCACGCTCGCGCCGCTCCCTCGCGCTCGCCCACCAGCCTCTCTCTGCCCCAAACATCGGGTGTCACCACATGAACATACGGCAAATAAACACATAAGAACGGACTCTTCAAAGGAGTTGCGATTTCCGGGCGTTGGCAGTGGAGAACTGCTGTGTGTACCATCACTTAATCGTTCACCTCCTGTTAACGTCGTGTTTGGCATCGTCCATCTCAGACAGCTTCACCCTCAGCAAGGACAAGCTCTCCTCCGCTGCCTCAGCTCGCGCCTGAGCAGCAGAGTTAGCATTCGGGGCAGGGTCAACGGTACCGTTTGGAATTGGCCATCTCTCACATGTTCTTAGCCTCTCGCAGCTATCTTTTACGACAACAGGTTTGACCACCTCATCGGCGCGCCTTAGAATCGCCACAGTGTGTAATGTGAAGAAGACAACAACAACAACTACATCAACGACAGCAACCAACACACGTCAGCTGGACCCTACTGGTGCTAGAAGCTACTTCGCAAAGTTCAGAATAGTCTGCAATGTGAAAACAACAACAACAACAACAACAACAACAAACCACCTGTAACGATTCGGTGTGGCTGAGTCTCCCCTTGAGTTCCGCCAACTCTTCCGTCGCCGTTCGTAGCCTGACCACGGCATCGCCCCTCTCGGACTCCGCCGTCTTGGCCCTCTCGACGCACCTGGCGACAATGACGACCTCAAAAATAACGAACATGTTGTGAACAAGCCCTCGGACTCCACTGCCGGTTTCCCTCAATATGCATCAACGATATCAATTCTAAAGCACATGTTGTGGACGAACACTTGGACTGCGCTGCTGTTTTCCCTCCACACGCACCTACTTGGGGAAAGAATATGAACTGCGATTATCACGATCATCGCGGCTCCTCCTGTAGCATAGTCGTGGTGGCGGCTCGATCATGAACTCGCCGTGAACTTTCGGGCTACTCTGCTGGTCTCTTCAAACTCTGCTGGTCTCTTCAAACTCTGCTGGTCTCTTCAAACTCTGCTGGTCTCTTCAAACTCTGCTGGTCTCTTCAAACTCTGCTGGTCTCTTCAAACATTGGTGGTGACAAACCCGCTGCGTGGCTATTTTGCGACATTCACTCAATCGAATCCAACATGCTAGCTTGGGTGATGGTCCTCTGTGTTTGATGCCGTCCTTCCTTTTCATATTATTTGGATCGAAGACCCGACAACAACGCGAGCAACTCCAAAAAGAAAGCACCTCTCCCAATGCTAGGGATATATGAGACAGTCCACAGATTCAACATACTCAGAGCGTAATGATCCTACAGCATTGAGTCGCTAAACCGCCAAGAGAATGACGATTGTGTATTGTGTATTGTGTATTGGACGAGATGTTGGCCTATGAATAGTCCAAGTCATAAAAAGTTAACGGTCGTTCATGTACTTGTAGGGGCATACTTTTGGTGGGAAGCAGAAGAGGTTGTCCCCAACCCACTCCAATTCTCCGATTGGACCGAGTCAAGAGGCGAACAGCTTGTCGAGTGGCGCGATTTTGTGTCGATTTTTTGCTGGCAGTGGCGGGGGTGACCACCATCATTTGATTCGTCTTGCATGCCCAGCACGGGTTACCACGGGAAAACCCGTGATCTTCCGCGAAACAACGAGCTCTCAGGGGTGCGGAGCACGATGGCAACAAAGACAACGACACCATCAAGACCACGAGTCCATCTCTCGTCGATTCGCGCACCTATCCCTCTCGGCTGCGGCATCTCTAGCGAGGGATTGTGCCTCCCCTAGCCCCTGCCTCAACGCCATGGCTTGGGTTTCCAAGGCGGAAACGCGATTTTCTGCCTCCTCTCTCTGGGTTTCGAGTCTGTCAATATCTTGGAGCAAAGCGGTTCGCGAAGCGTCTCGTTCATCCTTCAATCATCACCGGGGCAGAGAGATAAGAGGAGAGGGAGAGGCAAAGGCAGAGCACGAGCGCGAGAACTGTCAGAAAAAATACCCCCTACACATATTATTTTCGAACTTCTGACGAATTCTAGAACGCTTATATTTGGTGAACATACTTTGAAGATAACAACCTCGATAGATGGCAGGGCAGGGTAGCTTGCTGTAGTTTTCGCCTTGAAGTCTACTGTGAACTCCCGGCTTCAGCACAGCGGTCGGCGGAATGAACACATGGAACAGGAAAAGCATCATGGTCGATACCACCATTTTAATACCATACCTCAAGATTGTCATGATTCACTTGACCCTTTAGCGGTTTGCTTATTGCCAGGCTGAGACAACCTTGAAACCACAGAAACTGACAAGTCTCCACTTCGAGACACAAACCACACCCAAACAACTTTGGAGAAGCGAGCGCATGGCAAGCGGTAGCAGGCCTGTGAGAAGACATCTGTCCTGTCACCTGCACGAAGGCGGCCGCTCCCTCAAGAGCTTTCCGAGAATTTTCCAGCGCGGCCAAGGCCTCCGCCAACTCAGCTTCGCGCTCCTTCAGCTGCTGTTCCTGCTCGGAGAGCCGATCTTCCGACCTGTGTGGCAGAACATTTCATTGCAGTGCAATTTCATCGCAAAACAACGTCATTAATTGGCACGCCAATTGTGTTGCACGCGTTGGGCTTGGCAGCGCTCAAAACAAGCAACAGACATAGATCGTGTGCTCTCCAATCCTAGAACGTCGGATTTGCTTCAGTGGATACGCAGCGACCATTTCTAAGGAGGCATCAGTCTCCTAAAACTCGTGCTACCCGCGCCCCTGCTCCCCGCCGCCCATCCCCTATCGCTTATCTAAGTTCCACTATCTGCTGTCTTCGGCACACATATGCCACCTCAAGAACAGGATCACTTTCACCTACCCACCCTACCCCCGCTCCCGTGCACTGGTTTCGTCTGCCAGCCGCTCTTTCCCCTTTTCAGACTTCACGACCAAGATTCGAAACCACACATGCATCATATCACAAAAACTTTGAATACATCACTCCGAATGCATCAGTGTAAGTCCCACGGACTATGTCCAAAACCTCAACATAACCTTAATCTTTCTGATACCTCAACGACGCGAGTCCCCGCCAATTCCTGAAAACTACAACGACCCTCACCTCGCCAATTCCTGTTCCCGTACGGCAAATTCGGCCGCTTCCTTCTCCGCCTGTCTGTGTCTTCTGTCGAGGCCTTTCTTTAATGCGTCTACCTCAGCGGCGTCCCCTTCAAGTGACGACAGGGTTACGCCGCACTTGGTTGCGGCTTCCTCAGCCTCCTCCTGAAATACAGGCAGTAGAATGTTCAAGAAAGAGGCAGATTGGCAATGTAATCCACTCAATCGGCTTGGTTCTTGGTGAGACACACGTAGGTTACAGATCCAGGCACACTGACAACCAGAAAAATTCACTCGATAGATTGAGTCCTCCTGGGATTCGAAGTTCATCGCAGATCACGACAGACTGACAAGCGTATTAACTCGATTGACTGACGAGGTAGGTTCAATATGGAGACAGACGACAACAAATAATCACTCGATTGACTCCTGGCGTACATGCGTGAGACGGCAGGTCGACTGCGAACTTTCATCGACTGACTGAGGCCTCTTGAGATCCATAAGGTGAGGTGACAAGTGCCGATGCAGACAGACTGGGAGTGAAATTCAATCTAGTGATTCATTGCCGAGACACGCAAGTTGAGACGATAGGTTGCACATCAAGTTAGACTGTCAGCGAAATTCATTCGATTGATTGATTGCGGAGGGACACGAGACGATGGGTTGCAGGTGAAGATGAGTTGGCATTGATTTTCACTCCATGGATAAACTTGTGCGATAGGCTGCAGATCAACACACAGGCTGGCAATGCACACGATTGGCTTGACTTACTACATGGGGTGATTAAGTGCAGGTCAAGATCGACTGGCAAAACATTCACTTGAAGCAGTCGCTCCTGGGATGCACTGTGCGTGAGACGATAGGAGGTTGCCCATGAAGACAGGTTGCCAACAAGATCAACTCGAAGTGTTTACTGGTTGCTCCTGAGATTCACAAGTGGGACGATAACTTGAACAGGCTGAGAACGATATTCACTGGACATTTTCACTTCCGGGAGATACACGTGGGACAGGTCGCAGATCAAGACAGCCAGGCAATGAAATCAACTCTACTGATGCGGTTTCTCGTATTTTGCATGCACATGAGATGAAATCTGTACAATCGAGAAAAAATGAAAGCGAAATCGATTGATTCACTACGAGATATTTTGTCAGACGAAATATTGTAGATATAGGCAGGCTGACACAGAAGTTCACTCGATCGATTCACTGCGCTGAGAGACGACGTAGGAAGATAGGTTGCAGATGAAGACAGACTGCCAAACAAGTTCAATCGGTTGACTTACTCCTCCTGAAGTATATTCGTGAGATGATAGGTTCGTTCCAGATCAATTAGCCGAAGGTCGCTGTTACTATTTTGGGTCAAAAGGACGGTGAGATCGCATAATATGGTTTTGAATGAACCAAACGTTCCGTTAGTGGCTGGCGGCAAGCACAAACGAGATTCCAGCAGCGCCAAACAACGACGCCCGGCTGTGAATGCGCGGCAAAATGCCTTGGTTAATATGGGTGGAACGTGTGCATACCATGAATAACAAGGGGAGGACTTGTGCACCACGCGGTCGAATGAAAGCGGAAGCAGGTTACACGGTCGAAGACAAAAAAACGCCTACGATCAAACACGATCTCCACCTCCGAGGTATAAACAAGGCTTTGAAAAAATGAAAATCTTCTTATTTCGAGGTGGACGAGGAGGGAAACACAATACATATGAGAACCCTGGTGGCGACAACACCATTCCTCGTCAAGCTTTCAGCGTTGTCAATTCACTAAAGGCAAGGGCGGAAATGAGGTGTCGGGGACGACGGCCACGACTGTAGTGTGCTTACCAAGGTGTTAATGGCGCTCCTGTTTTGGACATTGGTAAAATTAAAGTTCCGGGTTGGAGAAACCGTTCAGCTGCGCTCTCAAGGACTTCATTTTGCTACAGACAATGTTATACCTCTCGCTTGGCGACCTCCTTGAGCCTTTCACGTAGTCGGCTTTCCAATTCCCTAGCAGACTTCTTGGCTGCTTCGCTCTCTTCCACCGCCAAGTCTCTGACGCGAGAAGAGAAGAGGAGGGGAGAGCGATTATTGTTGTTGATGCTGCTGCCCAAGTTTGATGTGGCTAGCCACAGTTATTCTGCTACTATCGGGCTAAAGCTACAGTAGTTGCCGTCTCTTATCTTTACCCTGTCGTTTGATGAGATGCGGTGCAAAAACCTTTACCCACCATCGCCAAAATACTATTAGCCGAAATGAAACAACACTCGCGTGTTCGTACGTTTTCGTTCTAGAAAGGTGCACCCCTCTAAGGGCAGTTGGCTTGCAACGTCCGTGCCAGTTGGACCAGTACAGAAGTTATTGAGCGGAGACCAGAACGCTTCTTAATGCGAAGACACCAACATCAGCATCAACACACCCTGCTGTAGACTGTAGACAGTTCACATCGAGATTTCAAAGAGACCGCGGAACACTCAGGCCGAATCCGTCACAGCAGTCTTCGCAAGGTTTTTCTACAAAGAAAAGATGTTGGACAAAGCATGCAATCGAGGAAGCCGGGATAGGGCTAGGGTTTGGGATATGGTCTGCGTTTCCCCTCTCCCTGTTGTATTTCCACATAACTGTAATTTCTCGCGAAGGCGGTCCATCCGTCAACGCACCTCTCTGCTTCCGCTCGCCTGACGGAGGCGATTGACTCCTGGTTTTGAAGTCTTGCAGCCTTCGCCCTCTCCCTGTCGAAACGGTCTTTAGCTCTCGACAGGCCATCTCGTTCCCTTCCAAGGGCTGCCTCTTTCTCCTGCAACAACCACAGCAAGCAAGACGAGCAGCAAGACCTCCCAGAGTTAGCTTTGCATTGCCCGGAGCAATAGGCCGTAGGACCTGCGGAGCTCGTGCCTTCTGAAAAACGTTCTTCGGAACGTTCTTGCAGCACAAGGAACGGCGTGTGGAGAATACGCCAAGACTTGTACCGCGCCAGGATTACGTAGGCTATGTTGCCCCTTTCCAAGTTTTTCTCGGAAAGGACAGCAGTAGAAATTGGTAGTAATGCTGTACTCGGTTTGGCGAGCGCACGAACAGGGGAGAGTGCATTCCAAATTTCATAGGCGAAGCTCGAAGCACAACGTCCTTTCGTACCGTGTCATACCGAATACCATGGTATGACACAAGATAACACACCCCCTGGACCGATTTTCAAAGCTGGATTACGCCACGACGAAGAGGATGCATGAACGAAGTGAAACATTTTCGAAAAGCTTTCGGCGAGACGGTTTCAACGCCGCCGTTTTCGGCGCTGTGACTGTTCCTGCAGTTGAGAAATCCAGCTTCGAAAATCGGTCAAGGGGGTGTGTTATCTTGTGTCATTTACGGTACTTCCCTCATGCCCTGTGATTCAGCGTAACGCATCTATCACCAGCAGCACACCTTGGCAGGTACGTCGTCCGGAAAGCAAAAAAGAAAATTAGGGGTAGCGGGAAAGGCAGCGGTACCGAGAAAAACAAAATCATCCCCCCAAAAAGGAGAACACTTTCGGCCAAAAGAAAAAGAGAGAAGTGAGCTACTGCAGACTTCCCGAGTAACAGACGTCGCAAGGCCGAAACGTAGCGATTTGCTCGACTGCTGTTGGCGGGCTCAAAAAAGTGATACAGACACGGGGCCACTCGTCTCGCAGGGGCAACAATCAACATTTGAGAGTCAGCAATAGATGCGTATCCCCCTTCCATGTTAACGCACCTCCAAGGCCACCCTGACTTCCGAGAAGCCCTTGAGCATCTCCACGCGCTCAAGCTCCACCGCGTCAAGGGCCGCCCGAGCCTCCGCCTTCGCCCTCTCCGTCTCCAGCCTGAGGGCCTCCACCTGCTTCTCCTCTTCCCTAACGGCCTCCCGACTCCTCTGCAACTCCCGCTGGTCCTTCGCCAGGGCGATCTTCCCCTCTTCCTGGGCTCGAGACAAGCGCTGCGCTTCTCGCCGAAGCTCTTCCCTCAGCTACCGCCGCCGCCGGGGTGGGTTGGGGGTCCGCAGAGTGAAGGTTAGGTGGGGGGTCCGTGGGGAGAAGGGTAGGTGGGGAGTGCGTGGGGGGGGGGG